TTTCCAGAAAGTGGTGCTATAGCTCAGGTTTGTAGTTTTTGCCCACCAACTGTGGCCTATTTTCTTACTGTGCTCCCTATTTATAGGAGGAACTCCTTCATGCAGGAACCTGCACAAGGAGCTGGCAACAGAGTGGAAGAAAGGTGTAGATTTAGGAATTGGTACCTTGAGGTACCCTTGGACCTGGTAGGAACATTTCCAGGGTAGCACTCCCAGAGGCTTATTGGTAGACTATCTAATGAGCACAATCCCTGTGACACCTTAAATTCTTAACTGCCTCTTTCCCAATGTCTTCCCTACCCCCAGGCTACAACTCCCACCTTAGTACTCCAGGTCCCTGTAGGGAGAAATGGGTTTCTCCAGCCACATGTTGCCCACCTGTGGAGCCAGGTTGTCACACAGCTTGCCTGTCCCCTGTGGGAGAGAGTGCCTCTGCCTGATAAATAACCACGTACAAGGGCTTCCCTGAGGGAAGGGTAGAGACAGGAAAGTCTCTATCAACTCCACTGTAACCAAATTCTTATTTTCTTCTTCTTTTTCTCCAGTGATAAGCTGGAGTTTCCCTTCAGCGAGGCTGGACTTCTGCAAATACTTTCCAGTGCCTACCTGGACATAAAAGTCCCTGATTTTTCTGCCTGCATTGGCAAGACAATGGTCTAAGAAGTTTCACCAGCTTTGTTGTTTCCGCAGCTCTACTAACCTAAAAATAAAAAGCCAACATAAGAGGCAACAAATGTTTATTTGAGATTAAAATGAATAACTGCTGGGGAAGCTTTGATTCAGGCAGAAACCCAAATAGTGTTCCAAATAGGAGGTGAAGGCAAAGGGTATTCATGAGAAAGGAAGGGGGACAGTTACATGAATAGAAGGAAGGAACTTCTATAGATGCAAATAAGCTAACATAACAGCGCTAATGCTAAAGAATGTCTACAACTTTCAGTCTGGTAGTCACAATGTCTGCTTTCCTCTAAGCTTTGCAAATAGTCGGTTGGAGTACAATGCTCCTTCAACCCAGCCCAAAGGTGCTTCCACCCAGTTTTAACACTCCGAAGGTTTGAGGAGAAAGATGTCCAAGGCAGTTCCTTTGGGATGGCAGCTCCTGCTCCATTCTGAAGTGGCTTCATTTATATTATATTTTACAGCTCATACAGAGGTTTGTTTATAGCTTACCAGCTGCACTGATAGGTCAAATTCCTCACAGGACCGTTGGAGTAAAGTACTAGGCCCCCAAATACCCACAACGGTGTTTTCGTTCAAGTGTGAATGTCTAATCCATGGGTTAAATAAAAAGGGGAGTAGAAAGGAGGAACAGCTTGTGTTGCCTTGTTGCTATCCCTCCTCCCACATTCACTTCTTATATACTCCATAGTATCTTGCTTTGTCCAGTGTTATTAACAAATTAATTAAAAATTAGTAAGATAAAATGACAACAATCATTAAGTGCTCACAACATTGCAGGCACTGAGTGGTTTAAATGGATTAAAATATTTAATAGTAATTCCAACATTTCATGGTTATTAATAGTACCTATTTTACAGATGAGGAAATAGAGGCTTCAAGAGGATGTATCACTTGTTCAAGTTTTCTTAGTGAGTGACGAAGCCGGGCTATGAACAAGGGTGGCTGGGCTACTTTTTCCAATCTACATTAGCACAATCAGGAAGAAAATTGTTTTTTAATGAAAGCCTGAGAAATTAACAGTTATTAGAGCAAATTTACTACATACACAAAACTTATTTCCCCCCTTTTGATATATTTGGGAGATATTTTCTGTCACTAAGTTATGATATTAAATTTCAAAAAAATTATTTGAACATTTTGCCTGGCCGGCACGGCTCAGTGCTTGAGCATTGACCTATGAACCAGGAGGTCATGATTCAATTTCTGGTCAAGATACATGCCTGGCTTTCAGGCTTAATCTCCAGTAAGGGGCGTGCAGGAGACAGTCGATCAATGACTCTCTCATTATTGATGTTTCTATCTCTCTCTCTCTCCCTCTCCCTTCCTCTTTCTGAAATCAATAAAAACATATTTTAAAAAATATTTTTTAAAAATTATTTGAACATTTTATTTTGATATTGTGGCATTTGATAATGAAAAAAAGGTAAAACTTAATTTTCTATCTTTAGTAAGTCTCATATTAGATTGTATAATTAATTTTAACAATGGAACATAATGTTGAATTTTGTAATATGTATAAAGGCAATTTACCGAAAGCTAATTAGTGAGAGATTCCACGGAAGGCTATTGAAAACAAAAATAGGCAAATCACTACCTAGCTAACTAGTATTATACTCTCCAGGGCTTTCCAAGAAAGCTTAGCCCTTCCTTCACCCATCATTACTAACATTATAAAACCTAATTATAGGACAACAGCAATTATTAACTTAGTTGCTCTTTAGAATTAAGTGATGATCTTATTTACTACTGAAGTGGGTGATAAGATCTTTTAAGACATTTTTACAGTATCATATTACCACCACTTTGCATAATTCAGAGCAACCAAACAGGAAAGAGAAGTGATTTCTGTTCATATATATACTGCTGTGCTGAAGATCAAAATATGTTCATCTCCCTTTGGACATAGGAGCATCTTACCTTTCCCATCTGCTTATCTCAGGTAAAACGTTTGCTGCATTATTTAATGATAGGAGCTATCCTTTCTGGGAGACAAAATCTTTTATAGCCTTTCATTTTATTCTCAACTTTACTGCTGGTAAATGGGAGTATATTAATTATTAGGATTAATTTCAAATATTTTTCTAGCCTTGCCTTGGTCTAACATACCAAATAAACCAAAAGATGGATCATGCATGGAATATTATGCTTATAGTTGGCATAACACTTTTTAATGGGGTTATAGATAAACTGGAGTACATTCAGGTGAAAGCCACTAGGGAACTCAGGATACTCAAAAGCACATCGCACATAAATTGAAGGAGACAGGCTGTGCAGCTTTTCAGACTGAGCCCTAATGGGACAATGAGAGCCAAGTTTATTAGTTGATGGTCATAAAGAAGAATTACAGCAATAATTAATGGAAACAAAAAGTATTTAAAAAATAACTTTTAATATAAAAAAGCGAATTATAAAAGTAACACTTGGTAATTGTTCAATAATAAAAGTAACAGGAAAGAATTATAGGAACTAAAAGTGAAATTGTAATGAAACTATGAATCCATCACTTTTTAGAGGTACTCACTGTTACTACTTTGGTGTATAACCTTGCACATCCATGACTTACTTTTGTAAGTGGTACATTAAAGGTTTTCATGACCCAGAGAGAAAATTTTGAAAACAAGGTTTTAAACTGCACATGGAGATGCTCATCAGTGATATAAATTATTACAGATCGAAGTTTAACTTTCCTCCTTCAGTTAGGTCTCAAATTCTTATCTTTCTAAAGTACTAAGAAACATTGCTGCTATATCCCTGGGTTCCAATCTAGAAATGAGTAACAAGAATAAAACCTGCGTTTGCAGGTAAAGGATGATACTGATTTTGATTCCATCTGACTGAGAAAATTTATTCTTATAGAAAGTTTCAATCTACAGAAAGCTATATGAGCCCATTCCTTAACATCATCATTTTTTTATAAAGTAAGCTATTTTTGTTTACCCATACATCTCACAAATGCTTCACTTTTTTCTCAGAAACAATGATGCTGGTGAGCATATGCTTCCTGGCACTGCTGCAACAAGCTGCCGGCATGGTAAGGATTTCACTTACACGGTAGATCTTAAGTTCTCCTGGGAGGGCTGCCTTACCCATAGCTCACGGTGACTGTGACATCGACAAGGTGATGATCGAAAATCTCCTGGGATGGGGAGGAAAAGAACTATTCTTTTGTTGCCAAACCCACCTTGGCTCTCACTAATGTGTATTTTTAGAACAATCAGTAACTTTTTTATTCATTAACACTACTGAGGAGTAAGACAGTGGGTCAGCAATGAGAATCTAGTGAGAACAGCATGAGTCAGAATATAAAATCGACTCCCTACTTGCCTTACAGGAAGTCATTTTTATCACAAATAGCTTGTTCAGTTGAAGAATTTAACATATGCTTGGAGATGTCTTTTCTAGACTCTCAAAAGTATATATTTGATATTACAAAGTCCAAAACAACAGCAGTTCAGAAATGAAACTATAATTTTGGCTTCCTAAGTTGAGCTCAACACATTTCAATTTAATTCAATTCAACAACTACTTATTTAGTGTCTACTGTATCAGACATAGTGCTAGATTGCTACGGACAGTGCAATAAATGAGATTAACATAGTCGTGCCCACATATAACACTTCAGAATACTGGAGGACTTAGGAGTCAACAGGTAACTTAAAAATTATGATAAGTGCATTGGTGAAGGTCAATATGGGTTTCCGAAGAATGTTATTACTGAACATCTGCTATTTAAAAAAAAATTCTCTAGTTCCCTCCATGCTGTGCCAAAGGTTAAAAGGTCTATTGGAACTTTCTGGTACTAATTAGGCCTCTGATAAGATTTAAGTTCTTTCATGTTATCAGATAATCAGATAAGGTCATGTGTAAACAGGTCTAATGGGTCAAATTAATTTATTGTTAAAGGACAAAAAAAAAGGTAGCATTCAAAAGGACACATCCAAGTTCCCCACAACAATTCTGTGACTTAGACTACTGATTCTCAAAGCATGGCCCCTGAGAACTTGTTGGAAATGCAAGTTCTCTGGTCCCACCTACTCTTCCTGAATCAAGAACTCTGGGGGGGGTGAAGCCCAGCAACCTTTATGTTAATAAGGCTTTAGGTGAGTTTGGTGCTCAAGTCAAGGAACACAAAACTAAACATTTCTATTAACTTTCATATTGAAATAAATCAGTTGTTTCATTACTTTGATTTTCAATATTGTAACATTGTCCTTACTTTTTGCTTCATTTTAAAGTCAAATACCTCAGTTTTCTCTTTATTGACCCAACATCCATCAATCCAAATGGAGATTATTAATAAGCACAATGACCTTAGAAGGATGGCAAGTCCCAGTGCCAGCAACATGCTTAAAATGGTAAGTCGTGTCTTATTGATAAATCATTATCAATTAGCATCTAACCACTTAGCGATGGACTTCAAACTAAGATCTATATATGTAAAATATTCTAATCTCTAGTTCACTTGAAAAGTTGTCATCTTAGCTGGTAGTTAAATGTAACATGCTACATTTGAACTGGAAAACATATTGACTCTTTCAATATAGAATTAAGGTATAATTAATGGGCAGTGAAAGAAACCATGTAAATTACATTACTTGAATAATTAGATGCTAAACAGAAAATGAAAATTTAACTAGATAATAAAATATGGTGTATAGGTCTAAAAAATAAGAGTCCTGTTATCGGTGGGGTGCCCTCTGTGTCCACACCTGTTACCGGTGGAAGCGGAATTCTTGTGATGTCACAATAGGAATTTTCTGAGACTTGCACAGGAGGATGAGTGATATTTATTTGCATGGAATTAAACCCCTGGGTTTCCTAGGTCCCATTTCCCATCATCTCATCATGAAAAAAGTCCAATCTTGTCTTTATCAGAGCTAGGATTAAAGCCACTGCCCAGAGTTTCTGCTTCATATTAAAGCACTGTCCTGTCTACCATCTGGCTGGCTTAACTTGTATGTCCAGCAGCAGTCAATGGCATGTAGGATCCATATGGCCATGGGCCATGCGGCTGCTAAGGCCAAATGACTATGGAGGTGCACAGATGAGTGTGGGTCATGGAGCCAGAGAGCACAGGACACAGGAGCATAAGAGCAAACAAGCAAGAGGAACCGGAGAGAGAGAGAGAATTCTTTGTCTAAGGATTATAACCAGGAGCTTAACCAATCGACCCTTCGGGATTTCGTATCCTTGCAGTGGCTCTGACTTTCTAGCCAATAATCTTTTTTCCCAGGTTAGACTGACAGGCAAGCACCTTCCCTCCTTCACTGCCTCCTTCACTTCTCCAGGGAAGGCACTGATGGTTCCCCGGGGAGTATGAAGTGGGGCTTCCTGGTGAAGCTGCCCAGATGACATGCTTGTAATGTCTGACCTTCCCTTGCTTTCTTTTTATTATTAATATTAACCAACCAGTTATGATGATAACACTACTTAATCTGGAGGAGCCTCAGCTTTTTCGGCCATTAGTGTAAATGAGAATCAAACTTTGCTACACATTTCTGNCTACTTAATCTGGAGAAGCCTCAGCTTTTTCTGCCATTAGTGTAAATGAGAATCAAACTTTGCTACACATTTCTGAGGTTCAGTAGAGAAATACTATTGTAAATAAAATTCAATAAAAATGAGTTGGTGCTTCTCTTCCCAATTCAAGTATTTAAAGTGTTATTGTATGACAAATGAATTAAATTTGTTCGAATTTTCTCAAAGAGCTGAGCTAGAATCAACAAATCATATGTATTTGGAAGTTACATTATACCTCAAGAGATCAAAAGAATCTATTTAGCAATCAGTGCTAAACTTAGCTGTCTTAGGAGGTACTGAACACACACTTCAATTACAGGCAAAATGTATATATTTTAGAGGCAATTCCTACAATAAATGAGAAATAGAATCCGCTGTCTTTCTAGTTCATTCCATTTCTGAGACTCTATGAAAGTTGTTGCTTGATCTAGGCTATCGTCTAGGAAGAAATTTTTCTACTGACCCTTGTGTTTAGCTTCATTTCTGAGGAAGTGGGTTGTGCCAGGTGTACAGGACAAGTGCCTCCTGACCGTAATAACTGACTGGTATTGCCTTCTCAGAGATACAAGGTGCCTGCTCTGTTCTGAACACCTCATCTTAGGTTGGAACTGCTTTTTTCTTTCTAAACAGTATTGTCTAGCAATCTCGGTTTAAGTTGTCTGAATTATGATAATACTAAATTCCTATTTTCACATATGAGATAAGGGTGGGCATTTATTTTCTCATATATTTTGTCTTTCACACTGTTATATTTCACTTATTACAGTGGAAGCGCACGAATGCTTGCTATAGCATCTGACAGTGTATTGATATATGTGAAAACTGGGACAAATGCAATAGATATTTTGGAGAAAACAGCACATACTTATTTCTCATTTCGAATTAAATAACCATAGCCCCAAGCTGTGATTATCCACCTAAAAGAGCATGGCTGGGTTTGGAAATGTTTTGCTGCAGAGAAACTGAATGGTATTTTTTCCCTTAAAATATCTAATCTGTAACTCAATATGGAAAGATACTTCCTGGTCATTAAGTGATTTAGAAAAGCAAGGAAGGTATCTTTTGGTAGAGCAATGGGAAAATAGGAAATACTAGAAAACAATTCATCAAATAGGCATTTGTTTTAAATGTAATCATGTGCATCACAATTATCTCATGAAAGCATCATATTTTCATTTCAAAATGTTTGTCATTTATTTCAAGACATGGAGTGACGAAGCTGCAAGAAATGCTGAAAGCTGGGCAAATATGTGTACCATGACTCACAGTCCCTCAGCTAAACGACATATCAGCTGTAAGTCAGACTCCAGTGAATAGTGGGGCATTTAATAAAAGCCAAACATTAGGTTAAAACTCACTGACGTGGTGAGCCACGGCAGCTCGGGAATGGTGATCTAGATTTTGTTTGCTGGTTTTAGCTCATGACTTATCACAAGCACACATTGCTTCCTGTCTTGTATTTCTTTGTTTCTTTTTCTAAACTCTTGCCCTAAAATCTCATTACTCCTCTTACTCCAAGCAAAAAAAATGTAAAATGAGTCCAAGGCAAAAGCTATGCAGGGAGAAAACAACAACAAAAAATTGTTTTAAATCTTTTTTTTCCTGAACTTCAGTTCATTTAGATACTTACCATCCTTATTTAGCCACATGCCAGGTTTATTCCTGAAATCTAAAAACAATCAAACCTCCCACTTAATACTTTGTAATCAGAGTTATCAGATCACCAATTCCTAGTGAAAAAACTTTATTTATTTATTTATTTATTTATTTATTTATTTATTTATTTATTTATTATTTTTTATCCTGACCCAAGGATATTTTTTCTGTTGCTTTTCAGAAGAGTGGAAGGGAGAAAGAGAGAGAGAGAAACATCAATGTGAGAGAGACACATCGATTGGTTGCCTCCTGCTTGCACACTGACTAGGCCCAGGGATTGAGCCTGCCACCAAGGTACATGCCCTTGGCCGGAATCAAACAGGCAGGGGGGAGGCCCTTCGGTCCGTGGGCTGAAGCTCTAATAACCACTGAGCCAAACCAGCTAGAGCAATAATTAATTGTTTTAGTATAACTCTCCAGGACATACTTGTAAATTACGTTAATGGAGAATTAACTATCTCACTTTCAAGGTCCTCAGCTTGCCTCACTCTGCAAGCCCACCATACCCCAGCCCGTCTTATGCTTTTTTGCTAGAATCTGGTCGGCCTGCTTGTCACCATTCTTGCGTCCATGGCTTTGATTTCATTTTCTCACAGGATATCCATTTTATGCCTGGTCTATTTTCTGTCTGCTTCACATTTGCTCCTTCCATTTCGCTAGCTAAAGAGCAGAAGGTCAAAATCATGTCTGTAACTTTTTTTTTAATATCCCCTATATGCATACTATGAAGGCACAGCAGATGATATATCCTTGCTGATTGACTGCTAATCAGTTTATTAGTGTTGCCAAAATAATGACCGTGACTGTGTTAAGCTACCCAGTCAGCTTGAAAATGAATCATTATTTACATTTTAAAAAGAGCTATTCATAGGTGGAGGGAGGGAATAATTCCAATTCAGAGAGCTGAAATTTGGAAATTGAAATCAGATTTCTCCAGTAGATCTGATAGTGAAAGATTTGAGAAGTGATCTTGATCCCCAAAATGAAAATCGAATATTCTTATAGTTTTCTATGAGAATTCTTTGCAACTACTGCTGTAACTATTGATTCATTGTCTTTCTTATTTTGTAGCCACTGGTTGTGGAGAGAATTTATTCATGTCCTCTAATCCCAGATCATGGTCAGATGCAATCCAATCTCTTTACGATGAAGTTAAAGATTTCAAATATGGATTTGGAAGTACTCGACCAAATGCTGTAACTGGTCATTACACCCAGGTAAAAATGAAATGGCAAAGTTGTAATGTTTCTTGTCCACTACCCTCTCAGAATTACTCTCTCTCCTCAGTATATTCTGGAGATGCTAAGCATAAGCCTTAGTGATGCAATCTATGCCCTACTTTACAAAGTATGTGTTTCCCATTAATGTACGTAAAATCAACCCATTATCTCTTGGATGCTCATAAAAACTCATCTGGTTATTGTGATCTCGATTTACCACAATGGTTTTTTTAAATGACAGCTCTGGGAATAAAGTGGTGGAATGAACTTAATTATATTTAAGCAACACTTTGAACAAGTCTTGAGCTGTTTTCTCTAGGCTAGTCACAGAATGAAATGCTAAAGAGAAAAATAATAAAAAAAATAACTCACATATGCAAATTATTTTTGAATCGTTGAATAAGTATTTTTGTATTATATAGGAACTAAAGAAAAGTTATTTTGGGGCTCCTAAGATTATCTGCACATACACACACACAAAACAAGATCAACAAGATTTCTTCTTTTTTCCTGCAAAAATCAAATTGCTCTTGGATGGGTATCTTATTGCCCAGCACCCCATTGTCCACATATTTATAAATTTGGATATGATCACTGTTGTAACAAAGGAATCATGGATACATAAAGCTTATTTGATGTTAGGTGAAGCCCCATAACTGAAGAGATATTTAAAAAGAATAATCATTAGAAATTTAGAAATTTAAAAAATCTGAAGTCATTATTTTTCAGTTTTAACATTCCCTCCATCTATAACTTCTAATAAGCAGTTAAGAAAAAAATAAGTCACATGGTGTGAACATCATAAATGTAATGAAAATGACTTCTTTTTAAACTTTTCACTTACAGCTTGTTTGGGCCACTTCCCACCAACTTGGTTGTGCATTAGCCCACTGTCCTCGGAGCATCTATAAGTATTTCTATGTTTGCCAGTATTGCCCCAGGTAAGTACAACCCAAGAGATCACTTTTGGCCTATGATAGGCCAAGTAGCCTGCACCTTGAGCTATAATCCAACCCCTTTCTCCAATCTGAGGTTCTAAGGCGGCTTCGGGGAGAGCTTTGAGGGTGGGTTTTGAAGAAAGGAGAAAATTGGGACAGACTGGAAAGGATAAGCAGTGCTTTCTAAGGGGTGACAAAGCCATGCCCCAGGTGTTGATAGCCTGGTGCATGAGAATGGGCTCTGTGGTCCGCAAGGATCAAGTACAAACATTCGCTCTTGGCTTACTAGTTGTGTGACCTTCGGGTCACCACTAACTTAACAACTTGCAGCTCCTTTTTTCTTATCTACAAAGAGGCGATAGCAATACATTTCTTGCAGTGTTTTTCTGAGGATTAGATATAATAAGCTATTTTAAGTACCTAGCATAGTTCATGGCACATAATAGATTCTCAAAGAAAACAAATTAATCCTGTAAAGAAATACCCTGTGAGATGCCAATTCCAGAAGTTCTTAGAAGCCTTGTTATAAACCTGCCTTCTGGTTGCACACCTTTGATCTACTATGAAGACAGTGGCACCCCATCTCCATGTTTCTGAATATATTAAATCCTACCAATTTATATTGAAATCATCTTTGTGGCTCCAACTTTCCTAAATCTCTCCCTTTTCAGACCTGTGACTCTTGCTGTGTATTCTACCCACATAGCACCATCCTGTATTTCTCAGTGTTGCCACTAATTCTGTCCTTCAAATATTTCATTGCCAGTGGAAACGTGTTGAACACCATCAAAACCCCATATAAAAAAGGAAAACCGTGTGAAGACTGCCCTCATCATTGTGATAACGGGCTTTGCAGTAAGTAATATTCCTTCTGCATCTTTACGTGGTGAGGTCTACCTGGTCGCGGGTCTTGCTGAGTATGACAGCCTCAGAATCTGCCCTGCTACATGAACGGCCTCATTCCTCTCTGGGCTCTCCCTTTCCTACATCAGTCTTTTTGATCTTGGCAATAAAAACAGAGCTCAAAATGAAAGTGGTAAGGTCAGCTGCCATTTGAGAGTGGTGACGACTAAATCAAGATAGACATTGAGGTGGTCATGCAGTGCAAAGTTAGCCACGCCGAAGTGGAAATGCAATGGCCCTTTACGTTCTTTCAGTCAGTCCACTCCTACTTTTTCTCAGTTGGTGGAGGGGAGGCAAACACATGGAAACTGTTCAATCTCGGAGAGGCTCGGGCTCGATTTGCTTTTGGCCCAAAATGAAAGTCAAGGAATAAAATAAAGGGAAACTTGATGTTGTTCTCAGTATGGCCACCCCTACACTCACACACACACTCACACTCACACACTCACAAACACTCGCACATTCTGCCGGCTACCTCACTTGCTTCCTTCCTCACAGCTGCATTTCATGGGAAGCAGGCTCCTGAAAAAGAACTTTGGGCTATTTTAAGCACATATGTTGAATGTCCCCGCCAGTCTTCTTTGAATCCTCAGACACTACACACGCTCACATACACACACATAAATATGCATACCAGGGCCACTGCTGGTATAGGATACTACTCCGTCTGGTTTGTTAAATGGGGTGTGAGTGGGATTTGTGTTCCATTTGCTGCCTTGCCCCTCTGTACAACCTATTCATTGCACAAGCAGATATGGCAACACACACATATGGGGCTAAATAAGTAGCACCTGAACTATATTGGGAATTATTTTATTTCTGTTACTGTGCACCTTGTTGGAGCGTGGTAGAGAAATTTATTTGATTTCATAAGTTTGGGGTGGGTGAACTCTCTGTCTGCTGCATCAGGTATGTTTATTAACAGTTTAAGACTATTACCTCTTGTGTGTGCAGTGAGATCTGAATAATAGAATAGATAAAGAATAAATGAATTTTCCCTGAGATAATGTAGTTTTGGATAAGTAATACTTTAATCCAAGAAGCAGCATTTTACTTACCTTTTATTTCTTTTTAGCCAATTCCTACGTGAATGTTGATCAGCTAGTGAATTATGACTAATTTGGTCAGAAAACTAGAGTGTGATGAAAAAAATCACAAAAGAAAACTGCCAGGCCACCTGTGAATGCCTTTCTGCAATAAAGTAAAACAGACTTTAAGAGTGATGCGTCGTCTCAAGAGCAAAGTGACCCTACTTAAAAACAGTACTGTAAAAATATCATTGTATTTTTCTAAATGTTCAAACACATTTTGAAAAAGCCTTCTATTGAATACACCCTCTTTCATCCATTCAATTTTGATGATATCCGAATGAAGAAAGCCAGGTAACAAAAACTCAGTAACTGTGAGCTATTGGTAAAAATGTAATGCTGCATCTAATAAATTCTGTAGTCATCATAATTGGTAACATGTACCAAAAGCTTTTGTGTAACTTATGAATAAATGTATCCAAAACTTTTAAAACAGAGTGCTCATAAACTCCTTCACTAAGGCATTAAATATCCACCGAAGAGCGTGTACACTAGTATCCCTGAAGAGCTCCGTTTTGACTGGTGTCCGTAGAACAAAGATGACAGGGGAAGATGCTGATCCCAATGAGAATTAAAAATATATATATATCTAAGTCTGTTGGGAGAAACACGAAAGAAATTGCTAAAGTGATAATTCACAAACACCTACCCAGTTACTAGACCTAAATTAATTCATATATTTGGCTTTCCCAGTTGAAGGAGAGGCCATGGCCGTGTCCTTAGAGAAAGGACCCAGTAATGCCATCATAAAGCATTCCATGAGCCTTTTGTCAAGCCTTCACTCAAAGAAACCTGGGCCACTTTTCATGGTAACTGACAGGAGTGGGAAAAACATTTGTGGTTTATTAGATACTGACTTAAAACTAATGCTGATCTCCAAAGACCTCAAATACCACCATGGCACATAGATCAGAATAAAACTTAGAAAGGTCAAGACAATAAAGTCCTGGCCCAAGGGCATCTTGGATTAGCTGCAGTGGGACTGCAGACTGATCTCATGGGTAATACTTCCAGTTCCAAATGATAGACTAAGGATCAATACACTTAGAATGTCTCAAAATCCCTACTTTGGTTCTCTGACCCATGATTAAGAGCTATCATGGTAGCAAGGGCCAAGTAGAAGCCCCTGAAACTACCCAAGTGGAAACCCCTGAAGTTAGCATCTACAGTTTGTTTTTTTATCTCAAAATTATGTTTTGGAGATTTATTCATTCTGATGCTATCAAGTTTTTCACATCCATTTTCACTTTTGTGTAAATATTTAATTGGATTTCCCAACACTAGATATTCATCCCCCGGTTCATGGACACTTAGGTTGTCTCCAGTTTTCACCATTACAAACAGGGTTACAGTAAACATTTTATACATGTTCTTGTAAACATGCTCCAGCATTCTCTGGGAGCAAAGTGCTGGGCCAAAGATAATTTGCATTTTCTTCTTTACTGGAACTTGCCTAATTATTCTCCAAACTAGCAGGACCAGTTTACACTCCCAATAGCCAAGGATAGAATCTCCAGTTTCTCTATACCCTTAAAATACTTGGTTTAATTGTATTTTTTAAAAAAATATGTCTTTATTGATTTCAGAGAGAGGAAGGGAAAGGGAGAGAAAGAGATAGAAACATCATTGATGAGAGAATCGACTGGCTGCCTCCTGCAGGCCCCAAACTGGGGACCAAATCTGCAACCCGGACATGTGCCCTGACCAGTAATCAAACCATGATCTCCTGGATCCTAGGTCAATGCTCAACCACTGAGCCATGCCGGCTGGGCAGTTGTATTTTTAAAATTTGCAAATATGATACCCTAATATTTATTCCTTTAACTATTAGTAAGATTGCAAATATTTTTATGTTACTTGGCCTTTTGGCAATTTCTCTTTAGTGTACTGCTTCTTCTCAAAGTATTAGTATTTTTTTTTTGGCCCACACAGAGCTGAGATTAAAAAACAGTCCTGTAAGGAGATTTAACCTGAGGTTCAGTTAATGAGAGGTTGGGTTTGAATTAGGTCAGAAGGAAAGAATTTTATAGGCTGATGGTATCACACTAGGCAGAAGCCATTATAAATAGTCATTCTGCTCTATGCAGAATAATTCAGTGTTGGTTTGATAGGGAGTTTCTATAGAAACTCATACAGAAATTGCTGTTATTACTCCTGGACAATACCTGTTGATATGGTTTTCCTACATGCAAAATTGTTTTATTAGATTTTAGATTTTTAAAAGAGAAAATCCTCTTTTTTAATTAATAAATAGCCACTAAATTTCCAGGTTACCTTAAAGTTGACTTTCCTCCCCCAAAGAGTGTGGTGTGTAAATAAGCAATCTCATGATTCTAACTTGTAAAAATTCCTTAAACCCAGTGACAGATCCAAAAACTCATTGCAGTTGGGTCAGGTTATCCTAGTGTGAATGTATTTTTTGTAGGCATGTCCTTGAATTTGTCAAAGAACATTATAACACACTCTGGCACTCCTGTCAGACATAGACAGTCCCCAGTAAATAGTTTGAGTGAATAGTGAGATTGAAGAAGGATAGGGAGAGGATACTGAGCCATCAGGATCCTTAGATGCAGACTACAGAAACCAAATCCTCTCTAATGAGAAAATGGGATTTGTTGGTACTCACCCAACAAATCCCAGAATCAACCCAAAAGTCAGGAAACAAGTCCCACCGAGGCAAGCTGAGGTCACAGATAGAGGACGCCACAGGAGCATTCTAGTTAGTTAGAATACCCTTTCTGCTGTTTATAAGCAGTCCCCAAGGTGTCAACTTCTGGGTATTTTGCATAACTGATCTCTAAATTCCAGATATGAGGACACAATTGACCAAACCCTGGTCATAGGCTTCAACTGCCAAAGTGGGGTGGGGGAGGATTGGGAATATCCACCCAACCTGAATTTCCACAGTGGAAAGCAAAGCCTTTATTTAAAAACTCCCTCAAAACAGAAAGAGTTTGAATGTGGGTAGCCAAACATGACAATAAGAGCAATAGTTACATTTAATGTGTCCCTACTATGTCCCAGGCTTTAAGTCTTTCATATACACTATGATTAGGAAGTAATTATTATTCCCATCTTTCAGAGAACAAAACCAACCACAGAACTTGACTCACTCAAGTTGATCAGTAACCATTGCACCTGGGATCAGAAGTCAGACAGCCTAGACTCAAGTCTGGAGTACTAAACACCCACTGCTCTCCACGCCCCCAAACGCTTCTATACACCTCCTTGCTGGGCTTGTCATAATGTCTGGTGTTTCCAAGTACAGTCTGTATCCTTTGGATTGTAATCCTCTAATAAGAATTTTTTGGCAGTCCTCCATTAAAACTTCAAAATCTATGGTTCATCTATGGTATGAAACATCTTACCATCTTTAGAAATCAAGAGGTAAAACTGATATTCCAAGACATTTGGTTAAACTGTAATTGCAAAATTATTAAAGTCAAATAAATAAATTAATTAATAAGATATATAGTTGAGTTTTTAATGAAAGGTATTATAATATGATGTTATTGGTATTAAAAGATAAGATATATATCTATAAGAACATATTTATATGTAAATATATAGAGGGAGACCAGAAAGATGAACACCAAACTGTTGATATTGGATTGAGATTGAATGGACAGAAAGTTCCAAATTGTGCCCAGCCAGCATGGCTCAGTGGTTGAGCATCAATCTACGAACCAGGAGGTCATGGTTGAATTCCTGGTTGGGCACAAACCCGAGTTGCCAGCTCCATCTTCAGTAGGGGCCCTGCAGCAGGCAGCCGATCGATGACTCTCTCTCATCACTGATGTTTCTCTCTCTCCCTTTTCCTTCCAATCTCTGAAATCAATAAAAACATATTAAAAAAAAATTTCCAAATGGTGTGAATTACTTAAAAAGGACAAATTTGTTTATAGCTTTCATAATTTAAAAACTGAAACTAAGTCTAAATATACATACATGTGTGTATATATATGTGTGCGTGTGTGTGTGTGTATATATATATATATATATATAATTGTTGATATTTCTGTGAAGGGCAGTACTTTTTCTAGGATGTGAGCAATACCTGAACAATTTAGCAGAAGAGCGCAAAAATCAATTAGTCAAATACAGAGAACAGCAGTTTCAGAATCAAACAGACTTGCATTTTATTTGAGGTCCTGAAATTTTCTAAATGGTATTAGACTTTGGAAGTCGTTCAGTTTCTTGCTCTCCCCAATAAAAAATGAACCTCCCTTGCTGGGCTGTTTTAAGGATTATAATTAGCATGTGTAAAGAGCCTGGCAGATATCAGGTGCCAGGGGATGTTAAAAAACCACCAAAAACTTACTCTAAAGACACATTGGTGCCTAAGGCTCAGCAAGCTGAGGCGCATTGATAAAATGTGATGGAGAAAGAGACCAAGCTCTGAAAAGAAAAAGAAAAAATAATAAAAGTCTGTCATATTTTCTGGGAGGCCCTCAGTTCCAACCTTATCTTTGAAAAGCAGCTTGCCTGGCTAGTGTGACTTCCTTTCATTTAAGCTGTCTACTCCCTTGGGTGCAACGGCCCCTGCACTAATCGGGCGGGATCTCTCTGGAGCTGAGATGCAAGTTTCTGTCCCCTGCCCCCCTCCTCTACCATCTCCTGCTCTTTTGTTCTTTATTTTAATTGTGTTCAGTGGGATAGCAGCTACTGCTTATATTTTTATTATGAGTGAAGCAAGAGAAGTGTGTTTGGGACATATCCTTTCTTAGAAAGACTGTGGAGAGTGAATTTTTTTTCAGTTACAGCTAATATTCAATATTTTACTAGCTTTGGTTGTACATCATAGTGGTTAGACAATTATGTAATTTGCAAAGTGATACCCCAATAATTCTAGTACCCACCTGGCCTAATACATAGTTATTATGGTATTATTGACTATATTCNATACATCATAGTGGTTAGACAATTATGTAATTTGCAAAGTGATAACCCAATAATTCTGTACCCACCTGGCCTAATACATAGTTATTATGGTATTATTGACTATATTCCCTATGCTATACTTTACATCTCCATGACTATTTCGTAACTACCAATTTGCACTTCTTAATCCCTTCACCCAGCTACTCAAGCCCCCTTCCACCTGGCAACCCTCAGTTTGTTCTCTGTATCTATGAGTTTGTTTCTGTTTTGTTTGTTCATTTATTTTATTTTTTAGATTCCACACATGGGTGCAATCATACAGTGTTATTCTTTCTCTGTCTGACTTATTTCACTTGATATAATACCCTCTAGGTCCATCCATGTTGTTGCAAATGGTAACATGGCCGAGTAATATTCCATTGTATGTATGTACCACTACTTCTTTTATTCAGTTGTATGTAGATGGACACTTAGGTTGGGCCCATATCTTGGTTATTGTAAATAATGCTGCAATGAACTTAGGGAGAGCATATATTCCTTCAAATTAGTGTTTCTGATTTCTTTGGACATATACACAGAAGTGGAATCGCTCAGTCATAAAGCAGTTTCATTTTTAATTTTTTCAGGAATCTCGATACTGTTTTCCATAATGGCTGCACCAATCTGCATTCCCAGTGACAGTGCGTGAGGGTTCCCTTTGAGAGAGAGACAATTTCAAAGCAGTAGTGGTCTTATTTTCATCAGTCATTGCTAACAAAAATAAAGCAACTCCAATAAAAGTTTCTATTAATAACTGTTATCCAAATTTACATATATTCAGAAACAAAGATAAAGAAATTACATTACTTTCCTGCAGCCACACAGCAAGTTAAAGATCAGTGTAGGTGAGACATGACTTACTCAGCCATGACCATTTCAATTTACCTCCCCTACTTAAAGTCTGTGAAGGCACGAGGAGAGTTGTCTCTAATCATTGGCACTTTAGAGCTCCCTGCTCTCCAGCCTGTTCCTTTTGTGGTTAAGAACTGTCAGAACTTTCAAGGTCACACTGCTGTTTGCCATATCCCAGATCTGTGCTTCTTCCAAGCTTCATAATTTGAGCTTGATCTTCAGTTTTGTTCAAGCTCAAAAGATCCTGATAATAAGCCCTTGCCGACTAAAATAGAGTGAACAGCAATATTAAAGTTACTGTTGTGGATTCAACATATTTACCATTTAAATGCAATTTGTTAAGGTAAGGTTGTCCCTATTTCCCTTCATCACTTGATTTGGACCGCTCTCTGAGCTTTTTTCTCTCTTTGAGACCGCCCTAAATTTAATTCACTCAAGTAATACTTATCAATGGTTGACTGTGCACTAGGCACGGTATTGACTCTAGATAACAAACGATGTGAGTAAAAAGGGGAAGGGATTAGAAAGTACAAATTGGCAATTACAAAATAGTCATAGGGATGTAAAGTACTGCTTAGACATTACAACAGTTAATAATATTATAATAACTATATGTGGCATCAGGTGGGTGCAAGACTTACTTCACGAGTTATATAAATGTCTAACCACTATGCTGTACACCTGAAATTAATATAATATTGAANCAAAGTACTGCTTAGGGAGTACAACAGTTAATAATATTGTAATAACTATATGTGGCGTCAGGTGGGTGCAAGACTTACTGGGGGGACCACTTCATGAGTTATATAAATGTCTAACCACTATGCTGTACACCTGAAAGTAATATAATATTGAATGTCAACTGTAATTGAAAAATAAACTAAAAAATTAAATGATTTGCAAAGGAGACACAGCCTCTGCCCTCCAGGAGCAACAGGCCAGTGAGGAAAACAGCCATTTTTAAAACGTCATCTAAATAAAAAACCCCACATAAACATACACACACAACCANAATTAAATGATTTGCAAAGGAGACACCACCTCTGCCCTCCAGGAGCAACAGGCCAGTGAGGAAAACAGCCATTTTTAAAACGTCATCTAAATAAAAAACCCCACATAAACATACACACACAACCAATCACGGGAAGTGCTATGAAAGGTCATTACTCAATGAGAGGTAATAGTGAGAAGCTGGGTTAAAATGGGAGGTCAAGGAAGGCTTTGCTGAGAACTAAAGAGTGATGTGTGTGAGGCGTGGGGACAAACGTGTGGGAAGAGTGCTGCATTTAGAAAGAACAGCTTGAGCGAAGAGCTAAGAGAGAGAAATAATTATTTTCCCAGATTGTCCGTGACTCAACTTATTTCAGTAGGAAGGCCTATGCTCAGAAGGGCATCAAACCTGAACTACTTAACAAGCTGATCCTGCAGTGGACGCAGTAGACTTTATCATTCTGTTCAGTAGTTTAAACCACACACATTTATGATATTGTTTAGAATTTCTCGCAATGCGTAATTCATTACATGGTTTTTTACAACCTGAGTGTATAGTTATTAACATAAATACTTTGTGTTTATGATTTGTTGGCATTCTTATGAGCACTAAGACCAGATATCAAAGCGTGAAATAAACACAAGTATTCTCACAATTAAGCATGGAAACCTGCTCCTGTTCCACCACCTGCAAGGAACAACAGAAATAGCCATTTTCTAAATATTTGAATTATAGATTTATAAAATGTCAGAAATCATTTAGTCCTAATGTCTTATGTTCTCTTGTGGGAAAATATACCAGAAAGATAAGACAAAACAAACTTGCTGCTTTCTTTTATAAACATTTGTCACCATGTAGAATTTGCCCCAGTAGTTTTTTACACTTTCTCCCTTCTTTATATTTGGAATAGAATCTTTTGAAAATGGAGATTAGCGATAAGAATGCTATTTTAACTGCTGGGCATAATTTGTCAAACATAGGTCTATTCTGCTTTGAGAATAGCTCCAGGATGGGGGCAAAAACTGTCACAGTGGTTTTGAATCATTGAGCATCTTATTTACACATGCCTTTGTCAAAAGAAAGAACTAGCTATGTGTACATTTAAATCCACTCTCTTGTTTTTTAAGGCTAAAAAATATATTTGTGTACTCCTATATTTACATTTGTGTAAAGCAGAATAAGGATTTAAGAAAAAATGTTATCTTAAATAAGCAAAACCACTTCTTATAGTGCCTTAAGTTCCCCTATTGCCCATACGCTAATCAATATTCAACACCCTGCATCCTTAATATTGAATGCAAGGCCCTTTACAAGCCAGCCCAGCTACGATTATACCTTTCCTCCGCATCTCTCCTATAACACAGCTTCATTTAACTAATTGCTCGCCCTCAAACATGCCATGTCCTACTAAGCCTTACGCTGTTACCTCTATGTGTTTTACTGATAAAACTTAATGCCCCATCCATATAATTTCATATGCTAGTGTCCTTGGCCCAAGACAAAAGAAAATGCTGCTTTATTCCCTAATACTTCTAGAACCAATATGATATTACTGATCTGTTTTATACAATCATTTGCTTATATTTTTGTCTTCCCAACTAGATTTTGTCTTCCCTCAAGAAAGTTATTTATAGGCACATTCTATATTTTCTTTAGTTTTGTGTCTCCTGTAGAGCCTGGCTCAGTGTCTGCCACAAAAAGCACTAAAGAAGTGTCTGTTAGATGGCCAACAGACATATGAAAAGATGCTCAACATCACTAATTGTCAGAGAAATGCAAATTAAAGCCACAACGAGATGTCACCTCATCCCCGTCAGAATGGCTATCATCAATAAAACCACAAACGACAAGTGTTGGCGAGGCTGTGGACAGAAGGAAAGCCTCATGCACTGCTGGTGGGAATGCTAATTGGTGCAACCACTGTGGAAGACAGTGTGAAGGTTTCTCAAAAAATTAAAAATGGAACTGCCTTATGACCCAGCGATCTCACTTCTGGATATTTATCTAAAGAAACATGAAACACTAATTCGAAAATATATATGCACCCCTATATTTATTGCAGCATTATTTACAATAGCCAAGCTATGGAGGCATTTCAAGTGTCTACAATAGATGAGTGGATAAAAAAGTAGTGGTACGTATATACAGTAGAATATTACTCAGCCATAAGAAAGCATGAAGCCTTACCACTTGTGACAGCGTAAATGGACCTAGAGGGCATTACGCTCAGTGAAATAAGTCAGTCAGAGAAAGACAAATATCATGTGATTTCACNTGACAGCGTAAATGGACCTAGAGGGCATTATGCTCAGTGAAATAAGTCAGTCAGAGAAAGACAAATATCATGTGATTTCACTTATATGTAGACCCTAAAGAACGATATAAATGAACAAACAAAATTCAAACAAAGTCAGACCCAGAGAGCCGACTGGTGGTTTGCCGGAGGAAAGAGCAGTTGAGAGCCTGGATGAAAGAGGTGAAGGGACTGAGAAGTAAAAATTGGTAGCTACAAAATAGTCACAGGCATGTAAAGTACAACACAGGGAACAGAGTCAATAATATTGTAATGGCTATGTGTGGTGCTAGGTTGCTACTGGAAATATCAGGGGGAACACTTTGTAAAATATATGGTTGTCTAACCACTATGCTGTACACCTGAAACTAATACAAAATAATATTGAATAAACTCTAATTGAAAAATTAAAATTTAAAAAAAGGTGTCTGTTAAATTAAATTTAGTAGGATTCTAGACACTTTTGTGCAACAGATCATTTTCATCACCTGGTTTTTCCCATCTGACCTGCACACACTTCAAACCAGCATTTAGAGCACTTTGATTACAGAGCATAATTCTCCTCAACGGGTGGGACATTTTAACCAGTCTTGCCCATTTTTTTTCTTGCAGTGTCATTGGTGTGCCTTTAACATGCAGTCCACACACAGAGCAGTCCCTCTGTTTTTATCAACCTCCTGCAGCCTGTGAAGCCCGCAGTGCACCTCTGTCCTTTGCCACAAACATGAGGTTCAAATTCCCTCTCATGGCCATTGGCCTGGAGGTTGCCATGATTGTTTTATTTGGATTGTTTGTTCAGTATGAAACGGATGAGACTCTTCTCCAGCAGCCCAACAGCACCAAGTCAACAGATGTGGCCAGATTCCTTGAGTTATACCCTCGTGAGTAGGCAATCTACTTCTTATATATTTTAGGTTATTCCGGTTGTCAGAATTTAAAATCTTTGAATACTGTAACCACTTGAGCTCCACATTGGAGTTCCTTATAGAATTATGTGATAGTTGTGCGTACTAAGGATATTATAAGTTTATGCTGTGGCATTTGGTCTTTGTAATTAGTGTTTGGATAGAATATGTGTCTATTAATATATCAGAACAAGAAGCCAAACATTAAAATGATTGATTAATTGTTTTGTGTGTTGCTTACCTGTTGCTAAATGACCTTATTTTTCTCTTAAATTATACATTAGATCTACAATGTATAAAAATGTCACTTATCACCAAAAAAAAAAAAAAATTTTAAAAATCCAAAGGTAACCTTGGAGGAGAGAGACTAGAAATAAATTGGAGTATTTAGAAGAGGAGCCAGGATTTCATGTGGGGCCGTAAGATATAAGAAGGAATATTTAGGGTCATATCAGATATAAATAGAGCTTTAACCAAAATAAACGTGCTCATGTTTTATAATATTCTGAAAGGAAGGTGGTTTGTTCCTATGAGATGAGAAGTGTGACCACCTAACATTGCAAAAGCAGAATCCTTCCCTGGAAATGGTGACAGGAAAGAAGGAATTTAGTTTTAAGTTGGAAAGAGCAAGCTATGGAATGTTAATATGACAATAATTACTACCACACATACACTGAAGGCCAGTGATGAAGCAGACTTGTTTGTTACCTCATTAGCCATGAAGGGAAGGGGCAGTATATTTCTATTATCTAGATTGTTTATTTTTCAAATGAGGCTCAAATAATTTTAAGCAGTTAAAATTATTTAAAATGGTAGCAATGTTTATTGTAGTTTTATAAAAAATATATAAGCTTCTAAAAAGGATTTGACATTTGTTTTCTCATTCCTATGCATTTTGAGGGAGTTTATAAAATGGGGAGTATTCTCATATAGAGATGATCTAGAGTTACATGACTCAGCCGAAACGCACAACTTCAAATTAAGAGTTAGAACTATAAGCTGGAGAGTCAGATTCCAAATCTAGTTCTATTTACACTACATAGATGTCCAAGGAGGTTCTTGATTAAATAATTTCATTATTTTCAAGCTAGAAAAAAACAAAACAGAACAGAATTCTGTTCAAATCTATATGCTCTTGTGCATTTCATTTATTCATCTAAAAATATTTTATTCCATACCAAGCATGTGCTACAGCAAATTTATTCAAAGATAAAACAAATATGAATCTCTTAGTATATTCTAAGATTCTGCTGTCTGATCCACATGTAAACAAAGAGCTACAACACAGTACAAGAGACAAAATACCAAACTATGATTTAAGATGAGTGTTATTGAAATAAGATTATCTTAAGAGCTCCATAACTTGCATAATTCAAACCGAAGACTTTATGTTCCAGAGTCAAATTTCCTAGGTAATACTTCAACTCAGAATTTGAGGGCAAAAACGAGTTGGAGAGAATTACTAAACATGGTCATTTTTTTGAATTGCCTAGCAATCATATAGTCCTTATACTCTGCTTGCAAGAAACACAAAAATTTATTCATTTCATGATTTATTAAGAAAATATTTATTAAGCTCCCAATTCTTGTAAAGCAATCTTCCTCTGAAAGGAAGACAGAAGATAAACATACAAGCCAATATATATACACATACATATATATTTTAATATTTTATTTATAAAAATAATTATATTTAATGTATATATGCATACACACATACACTCACATTTAGATGGAAATAAAATACCACAGCAATAAATGAAGCAATATTAATGAAATAGATGCATCTGGACAAGGGAAGATGTCTTTTCAGGACCAGTGTAATATGAAAGAATTAATTCTTAATAGGCCAAGGTATACACTGCATGCAATTAATTAACTTCTATCCTATGCATCTAGAATGATACCAATCCTGTACTGTCTTTGAGAGAATTACAAAATAGTCACTTAAATTGTTTTATTGTTCTGTGGATTAAATGAGAAATCTGGTTGAGACAGGCAGTTAATGTATAGTCTAGATCAGCAATTTTAAATGGGTGTGCACTGGTGTACCACAAGCATTTTTAAAACATGCAATACCTGACCTCTTTTCCCTTAGATTGTCAAATTAAAAAATTACAACAGCCAACACAATAAGGTCTGTCAGGTGTAAATGCCGTGTCTTGAACCATAAATACATAGGTCATATAATAGAGTTGCATCTTATTGGTCAAGTCGCATAATAAGATTGCTTTAAATTGGTTAATTCTTGGTACAAGATTCTTTTTTTAAAAAAATATATCTTTATTGATTTCAGAGAGAGGAAAGGAGAGGGAGAGAGAGAGATAGAAACATCAATGATGTGAGAATCATTGATCGGCTGCCTAGCCCACATCCAGGGCACGTGCCCTGACCGGGAATCAAACCCCGATTGCCTGGATCCTAGGTCAACGCCCAACCACTGAGCCATGCCCGGCCGGGTGGTACAAGAAATTCTTATATATAAGTATAGGCACATAATTGTTTAATTTTTTACTTTAAATTAAATTTTATTTATTTATTTATATATTTATTTATTTATTTTAAAGTTTCTTTATCTTTATTGTTGAATATATTGCAGATGTCCCTTTTTTACCCCCATTGATCCCCTACACCCTGCATCCACCCCACCCCCAGGCCTTTCCCAGATCAGTGTCTGTGTCCATGGGTTATGCTCATAAACATATAAGTTCTTTGATGAATCTCTCCCCACCCACTCCCTCACCCCATCTTCCCTCTGAGATCCCTCAGTCTGTTCCATGCTTCTGTGTCTCTGGATCCATTGTGTTTATCAGTTAATTTTGTTTATTACATTCCACATATGAGTGAGATCATGTGGTATTTGTCTTTCTCTGACTGGCTTATTTTCACTTAGCATAATACTTTCTAGTTCCCTCCATGCTGTCCCAAAGTATAAAAGATCCTTCTTTTTTCACAGCTGCATAGTATTCCATGGTATAAATGTCCCACAGCTTTTTTACCCACTCATCTACTGATGGGCACTTGGGCTGTTTCCAGATCTTAGCTATGAACATAGGGGTGCATTTGTTCTTACTGATTGGTGTTTCGGGTTTCTTAGGATATATTCCTAGAAGTGGGATCACTGGGTCAAATGGCAGGTCAATTTTTAATTTTGGGGGGAACCTCCATATTACGTTCCAGAGTGGCTGCACCATCTGCATTCCCACCAGCAGTGTACCTGGGCTCCCCTTTCTCCACACCCTCGCCAGCACATGTCACTTGTTGATTTGTTGATGGAGCCATTCTGACAGGTGTGAAGTGATACCTCATTGTGGTTTTAATTTGCATCTCTCTGATGATTAGCAACTTTGAGCATTTTTTCATATGTCCCTTGGCCATCTGTATGTCCTCTTTGGAGAAGGGTCTATTCAGGTCCTTTGCCCATTTTTTAATTAGATTATTTGTCTTTCATTTGTTAAATTGTATGAGTTCCTTATATATTTTGGATATTAACCCTTTATCAGATTTGTTGTTGGCAAATATGTTCTCCCATACAGTGGGCTCCCTTTTCATTTTGTTGATGGTTTCTTTTGCTGTGCAGAAGTTTATTTTGATGAGTCCCATTTGTTTATTTTCTCCTTTGTTTCTCTTGCCCTAGGAGATGTATTGGCAAACATACTGCTATGACAGATGTCTGAGATTTTGCTGCCTATGTTTTCCTCTAGGATTTTTATAGTTTCACATCTTACATTTAAGTCTTTTATCCATTTCGAGTTTATTTTTGTGTATGGTTTAAGTTGGTGATCTAGTTTCATTTTTTTTGCATGTACTGTCCAGATTTCCCAACACCATTTATTGAAGAGACTGTCTTTACTCCATTGTATGTTTTGCCTCCTTTGTCAAATATTAATTGACAATAATGGGGTGGGTCAATTTCTGGGTTCTCTGCTCTGTTCCACCGATCTGTATGCCTGTTCTTGTGCCAGTACCAGGCTGTTTTGATTACAGTGGCTTTGTAGTATATTGTGATCCCTCCAACTTTGCACTTCTTTCCCAATACTGCAGTGGCTATTCAGGGTCATTTTTGGTTCTATATAAAATTTTGAAGTGTTTGTTCTAGATCTCTGAAATATGCTGTTGGTATTTTAATAGGGATTGCATTGAACTGACAGATTGCTTTGGGTAGTATGGATATTTTAATGATGTTAATTCTTTCAATCCATCAACCTGGTATATTTTTCCATTTGTTTATATCTTTCTTTATTTCTTTTTTCAGTGTCCCATAGTTTTCTGAGTACAGGTCTTTTATATCCTTGGTTAAGTTTATACCTAGGTATCTTATTTTTTTTGTTGCAATGGTAAATGGGATTGTTTTTTTAGTTTCTCTTCCTGAGAGTTCATTATTGGTGTATAAAAATGCCATTGATTTCTGGGTATTAATTTTGTATCCTGCTACCTTGCTGAATTCATTTATTAAATCTAGTAGTTTTTTTAGTGAAGTCTTTAGGATTTTTTATATACAATATCATGCCACCTGCAAATAATGACAATTTTGTTTCCTCCTTTCCCGTTTGGATGCCTTTTATGTTTTCTTCTTGTCTGATTGCTGTGGCTAGAACTTCCAGTACTATGGTGAATAAGAGTGGTGAAAGTGGACACCATAGTCTTGTTCCTGTTCTTAGGGAAAATGGTTTTAGTTTTTGCCCATTGAGTATGATGTTGGCTGTAGGTCTGTCATATATGGCCTTTATTAGGTTGAGGTATGATCCCTCTATTCCCACTTTGCTGAGAGTTTTTATCAAAAATGGGTGTTGGATTTTGTTGAATGCTTTTTCTGCATCTATTGATACGATCATGTGATTTTTGTTTTTCAATTTGTTGATATAATGTATCATGTTTATTGATTTATGAATATTGTACCAGCCTTGCATCCCTGGAGTAAATCCCATTTGGTCATGGTGTATGATCTTTTTAATATATTGCTGGATCTGATTTGC